TGTGCTACTCTGCTGCTGAGTATGCATGCCCAGTGTGGAACACATCTCACCACACTAAAACAGTGGATGTGGCTCTTAATGAGACATGCTGCATTATCACGGGATGTCTGCCCTACACCACTGGAGAAATTACACTGTCTAGCCGGTATCGCACCACCTGACATCCGCCGGGAAGTGGCAGCCAATAGTGAAAGGACCAAGGCAGAGACATCTCCAGCTCATCCCGTTTGGGTATCAGCCAGCACGTCAACGACTTAAATCCAGACATAGTTTTCTAAGATCTACAGAGACACTCGCTGGAACACCTCAGCAAGCGAGAGTCCAAAAGTGGCAGGCTCAAACCCAGAACCTCAACCAATGGCTGATACTAAATGAGAGACTCCCTCCTGGGCACACAGAAAACTGGGCGACTTGGAAGGCGCTGAACAGACTGCGCTCTGGCACCACGAGATGCAGAGCCAACCTTAAGAAATGGGGCCACAAAGTGGAATCCTCAACATGCGAGTGCGGAGAAGAGCAAACCACTGACCACCTGCTGCAATGCAACCTGAGCCCTGCCACAGGCACAAGGGAGGACCTTCTTGTGGCAACACCAGAGGCACTCCAAGGGGACAGATACTGGTCAAAGGACATTTAATCAACTACCAAACTCACACATTTTGTATTTTCTCTGTTTGTTTGCTTTGTTCTGTTAGAAATGTAATATAATTGACTGGCTGCCCTGACACGAGAAATAAATAACTAATCTTTGTTTCCACAACAAGCCATATTTTACAAAATCCAATTCTCACAGGGACAGAAAGTAAGGAGGAATCTTCTGAACAGGGTCACAAACAGCAAAGGAAACACCACAGGAGTGTTCAGCCTTTCCTATACAATCCAAAACTAATAAATATGTATATTTGGCTGGAGTTACGCTTCAAAAATATACATATTCCAAACTAATTCAGCTTAACAACAATCCTACAGAATCTCTCTTGTTCATAACTTGGAGACTGTTTGTATACGATTATCTATACTGTCTTTTTGCACCGAGGTTTAAAAAACACATTTCTCCAAAAAGCAGAAGTAGACTTCCTGCCACAACGTCCCAGTCTCCTCCCCAATTGTTTTTTTTTCTCTTTCTTTTAGAAGGATCATTTTAGGATGTGTTTGCAATCCCCCAAAATAATCCTTCAAAAGATTCACTAGAAATTAATACATATCAATAATAATAATTATAAGAATCTTTCATAAAATTTGTTATGTATTGAATATCCATTTTATAGAAATACATTTTAATATGTATCTTTTAAACTAAGAAATACATTTTAATATGCGTATTTATAGAATTTTTGCAATGTTTATGTGTTTTAATTATGCTGTAACCTGCCTTGAGCCACAAGGAGAGGTAAGAAAGTAATATTATTATTATTATTTACATTTTGCAACCCACTTTTTCTCACAAGGCTTGGGCACAGCATAGTTTAAATATGTATGACTTTATATATATATATTATATATATAATACATATTATATATTACGCTTTTATCTATGGAATTTAGTAATTTATTGTAATTTAGTGTAAGTTTACATTTGACTTTATAAACACACACACACATATATATATAATACATATTATATATTATTTATTTATTTATTTACCTTATTATTTATTATTTATTATTTATTTACCTTACTTATATACCGCTGTTCTCAGCCCAAAGGCGACTCACAGCGGTTCACAACAAATACGAACAGCAAAAATTCAGTGCTACAGTATAGAAACAGTTAACAACCTAACACATTACACAATTAATAAACAGTTACTACAATACCCATTCACTGTCGTCTCGTCATCAAAAACATGTTCCAGATTCGTCATCCATTGTTCCATTCCAGTGTTCATTAACCAATCATTGCACTAATTATTCGAACGCCTGCTCAAACAGCCAGGTCTTCACTTTTTTGCGGAATACCATTAGAGATGGTGCTAGCCTAATGTCCGTAGGAAGGGCGTTCCACAGCCGAGGAGCCACCACCGAGAAGGCCCTATCTCTCGTCCCCGCCAGCCGAGCTTGAGAAGCAGGCGGGATCGAGAGCAGGGTCTCCCCGGAAGATCTCAAAGTCCTGGTGGGTTCATAGGCAGAGATGCGGTCAGATAGGTAGCTTGGGCCGGAACCGTTTAGGGCTTTAAAGGCCAACGCCAGCACTTTGAATTCAGCCCGGTAGCAGATCGGTAGCCAGTGGAGTTGGCGCAACAGGGGGGTTGTATGCTCCCTGCGCTCCGCTCCTGTTAAAATCATGGCTGCTGAGTGTTGGACTAGTTGGAGCTTCCGAGCTGTCTTCAAAGGCAACCCCACGTAGAGAGCGTTGCAGTAGTCTAAACGGGATGTAACCAGAGCGTGGACTACCGTGGCCAAGTCAGACTTCCCAAGGTACGGGCGCAGCTGGCGCACAAGCTTTAGCTGTGCAAATGCTCCCCTGGTCACCGCCGAAACCTGGGGTTCCAGGCTCAGCGATGAGTCCAGGGTCACACCCAAGCTGCGAACCTGCGTCTTCAGGGGGAGTGCGGCCCCATCCAACACAGGCTGTCACCCTATGCCCTGTTCGGCCTTGCGACTGACCAGGAGGACCTCTGTCTTGTCTGGATTCAGTTTCAATTTGTTCGCCCTCATCCAGACCGTCACAGCAGCCAGGCACCGGTTCAGGACCTGGACAGCCTCCTTAGTATTATTATTATTATTATTATTATTATTATTATTATTATTAAACTTTATTTGTACCTCGCTAGCATCTCCCAAGGGATTCGATGCGGCTTACAACAGGCCGGAGCCCAACACAACACAATACAACAATACAATAAAAACAGTTAAAGCAGAAAAACAACAGCAATAACAATACAACAGGACATTATTAAAAACTGAGCCGGCTGAAGTGGGGTACAGGGTTAAAAGTGCTGAAAAAGTGTCGGGGGGATATGAGATTAAAGTATAAGTGCGGTGTGCGTTGAGGGTGATCTTGACTCTACTAAAGTGCTTCTGGGCTTTGGTAGTGGGGGTTGGAATAGCCAGTAGGCCTGTTTGATCAAGAAAAAATTTGTTTCTAAAATCGATTTGTAATTGGGGTATTTTTTTGTTTCGATATTTAAAATAATTACAAAACTTTCCCCCAAAAAAGTTTTGGTATTTAAGAAATTTTGTAAATATTAACGAATTTTTAGAATATTTTTTGTATTTCTTAAGAATAATATTAAAATAATATTAAAAAATATTTTAAAATGGAAAATTAACCAAAAAATGGCCCAAATGTGGACCAAACACAGGCAGGAGACAGCAAATGAGAGCACACACCAACAGAAGAGTCTTTTCTTTTTTAGAATATTTTTTAAGAATAATATTAAAATAATATTAAAAAATAATATTAAAATAATATTAAAAATATTTTAAAATGGAAAATTAACCAAAAAATGGCCCAAATGTGGACCAAACACAGGCAGGAGACAGCAAATGAGAGCACACACCAACAGAAGAGTTTTTCTTTTTTAGAATATTTTTTAAGAATAATATTAAAATAATATTAAAAATAATATTAAAATAATATTAAAATATTTTAAAATGGAAAATTAACCAAAAAATGGCCCAAATGTGGACCAAACACAGGCAGGATACAGCAAATGAGAGCACACACCAACAGAAGAGTCTTTTCTTTTTTAGAATATTTTTTAAGAATAATATTAAAATAATATTTAAAAATAATATTAAAATAATATTAAAAAATATTTTAAAATGGAAAATTAACCAAAAAATGGCCCAAATGTGGACCAAACACAGGCAGGAGACAGCAAATGAGAGCACACACCAACAGAAGAGTCTTTTCTTTTTTAGAATATTTTTTAAGAATAATATTAAAATAATATTAAAAATAATATTAAAAAATAATATTAAAAATATTTTAAAATGGAAAATTAACCAAAAAATGGCCCAAATGTGGACCAAACACAGGCAAGAGACAGCAAATGAAGCAAGCAGCACTCACAGCAGCAAGGAATGAATCCAATCCGAGTTGCTAGCAGCCATTGCCAAGCCAACCCAATGCAAACTCCCTCGCCCTCTGCAGCAAGCTACGGGCCGCGCGGAGCCGCTTTGAAAGGGCTCGCCGGCCAATCAAAAACAGACAGCCACGGACCCATGGTGCACTGCTTGGGAGCGCCGGATTGGCTCCCAGGCACCAGCACTCCAGCAGCCTCCACCCCATTAACGAAACGAGCGGAGGCTCGTTAAAACTATGGGGGTTGCTGGTTCGATATTTAAAAACCCTTCCGGGTTTGGAAATATGTTTTGATATCGCTTCGGAAATGCCAAAAATAACGAATTAATAACGAATTAACGAACGAAACCGCACAGGCCTAATAGCCAGGTTTTCAGGTTTTTTCTAAAAACCGCCAAGGTGGGGGCCTGTCTGAGATCTTTCGGGAGGGCATTCCAGAGGCGGGGGGCCACCACAGAGAAGGCCCTGTCCCGCGTCCCCACCAAACGCGCCTGTGAGGCAGGTGGGATCACGAGCAGGGCGTCTCCTGAAGACCGGAGCGAGCGTGTGGGTTCGTAGACTGTGATGCGGTCTCGTAGGTAGGAAGGTGGGAAGGAGTGGCAGAGTTGGACATCATCCGCGTACAGATGGCACCGTACCCTGAAACTCCGGATGATGCTTTTATCTATGGAATTTAGTAATTTATTGTAATTTAGTGTAAGTTTACATTTGACTTTATAAACACACACACATATATAATACATATTATATATTGTGGTTTTCTCTATGGAATTCAGTCATATATTGTATTTTTATGCCAGGCCTGGGCCAACTTGGGCCTTCCTCCAGGGGTTTTGGACTCCAACTCCCACAATTCCTAACAGCCTACCGGCTGTTAGGAATTGTGGGAGTTGGAGTCCAAAACACCTGGAGGGGCCAAGGTGGCCCAGGCCTGGTATAGCTATATCTCAATCGATGCAGGTCTGCTCACCGGGGGCCTGGAGGTAGAGCGAAGCAAAGGCGGCGAGGAAGGCGGCGGCGAGGCCGGCCAGGAAGAGCTGCCGGGAGAGACGCTGACCCTCCGCGCCCGCCATGGCGCCTCCCGTCCTTCCTTCCACACAGATTCCCAAAAAAATCCCCTCAGGCCGCGGGGGCGGGATCCCAACTCCCAGCAGAGCGTCCATTGGTCCAAATCCGCGGGGAGGGCGTGGCCGGCAGAGAAGTAACCAATCGGAAACGAAGGGGCGGGGCTCCGGAAAGCTTGGGCCTTGCTTTGACAGAGGAGATTGCTCAGAACGCCCGGGGATCGCGCTGATTGGCTGAATCTCCAGAAATAACGAATCGGAGAAGAGGGCGGGGATTCTACAAAGCTTTGGCCCCTGATTGGCTATGTCTCGAGGGAGAGGGCGGGCACGGAGGCGGTGAACAGCACGCTCATTGGCTGAATCTCCAACTGAGGGAAGAAATAACGAATCAGAGAAGAGGGCGGGGATAATACAAAGCTACGTCTCGAGGGAGAGGGCGGGCATGAAGGAGGTGAGCAGCACGCTCATTGGCTGAATCTCCAACTGAGGGAAGAAATAACGAATTAGAGAAGGGGGCGGGGACTCTAGAATGCTTCGGCCCCTGATTGGTTACGTCTCGAGGGAGAGCAGCACAATCATTGGCTGAATCTCCAACTGAGGGAAGAAATAACGAATCAGAAAAGAGGGCGGGGATTCTACAAAGCTTTGGCCTCTGATTGGCTACGTCACGAGGGAGAGGGCGGGCACGGAGGAGATGAGCAGCACGCTCATTGGCTGAATCTCCAACTGAGGGAAGAAATAACGAATCAGAGAAGGGGGCGGGGACTCTACAAAGCTTCGGCCTCTGATTGGCTACGTCTCGAGCGAGAGGGCGGGCACAGAAGCGGTGAGCAGCACGCTTATTGGCTGAATCTCCAACTGAAGGAAGAAATAACGAATGAAAAACGAAGGGGCGGGGCTCCAGAAAGCTATCGCGCTGATTGGCTGAATCTCCAGTCGAGGGAAGAAATAACTAATCAGAGAAGGAGGTGGGGACTCTACAAAGCTTTGGCCTCTGATTGGCTAGGTCTCGAAGGGGAGGGCGGGCATGGCGTCGGTTAGCAGCACGCTTATTGGCTGAGTCTCCAACTGAGGGAAGAAATAACAAATCAGAGAAGGGGGCGGGGACTCTTGAAAGCGTTGGCCTCGCTTTCACGGGGGAGGGCTCAGAACGCTCAAGGATGGCGCTGATTGGTTAAGAATGGCGAGAAAGGCGGCACCGAGGGAAGAATTAACCAATCAGGGGTGGGATGGGCGGGACGAGAAAGAGTGACTGAGGAGCGCCGAAGGGGGCGGGGCTTAGAAACCAAAAGGGGGCGGGGCTTTAAGCGTCACAAGTTCTTCCCCATTGTGGGCGTGGCTTCAGGGTGCATCCAATAGGCAGGGAAGAGGGAGGTGTCACTCTGCGTCGCGTTCCTTATACGTCACCTTTTGGGCGCCGTCGACGCTTGCGGATGGCGTCACGAGGCGCGTCGGGCGGGAAAAACGAACAGAACCGGCCAGCTTCCGTTGAGAGGGAATGCCGAGCGAGGTAAGGCTTCTTTTCCGGCTGGAACAGCCTTGAGCAAGCCTTGAAGACTGCCAGGCCCATCAGTGAGGCGGCCTGGCTGTGGTTGCCTCTGCTTGGGAGGTGGCCATGTTCCAGCAGCACTCTCTCCTGACGTTTCGCCCGCATCTGTTGCTAGTGGCATCTTCAGAGATTCCGTTGGACTGTCTGTATCCCTGTGGAATAATGTCCTTGATGAGCATTGAGTAGCCATGAAGCTGCAAAGTCAACCAGTGAGGTCGTCTCTGCATAGAGGTAGCCTGGCTGTTGTGCCTTGGAGGCACCCTCTCTTTGGGAGGTGTTAACTGGCCCTTGATTAGGTTCTTGTAGGTTTTTATGGCCATGTTCTAGAGGCATTTTCTCCTGACGTTTTGCCTGCATCTATGGCAAGCATCCTCAGAGGTAGTGAGGTCTGTTGAAACTAGGAAAAAGGGTTTATATATCTGTGGAATGACCAGGGTGGGACAAAGGACTCTTGTCTGCTGGAGCTAGGTGTGAATGTTTCAACTGACCACCTTGATTAGCATCAATGGGCTGACTGTGCCTGGGGCAATCTTTTGTTGAGAGGTGATTAGATGTCCTTGTTGTAGGTTTTTTCGGGCTACTTGGCCATGATCTAGAGGCATTCTCTCCTGACGTTTCGCCTGCATCTATGGCAAGCATCCTCAGAGGTAGTGAGGTCTCTTGGAACTAAGAAAAAGGGTTTATGTATCTGTGGAATGACCAGCGTGAGACAAAGGACTCTTGTCTGTTGGACTGTCTGTATCCCTGTGGAATAATGCCCTGGGTGGAAGAAAAGAACCCTCGTCTGTTGACGCAAACGTGAATGTTGCAGTTGCCAAGCTTGATGAGTAGCCATGAAGCTGCAAAGTCAATCAGTGAGGGTATCTGTATAGAGGTAGCCTGGCCTCTATTGCCTGGAGGCTCCCTCTGTTTGGGAGGTGTCAACTGGCCCTCGATTGCTTGTTGTCTGGTGTTCTCCTTTTTCTTTTCTTTTTCTTTTCAAAAGTAGCAGAACTTTATTGACAATATCTTAGTTGTGTTTTTGAAAAATTGTAGTTAGTTCATTTTACCAAAATACTTCAGTTTTCCTGCAGGATCCGGAATTATTGTTTCACTGCCTGGTCTCCAGCCAGCAGGACAAACTTCTCCATGTTTATCAGTATATTGGAATGCTCGTACTAGACGAATAGTTTCATCCTCAGATCTTCCAATGGGAAGGTCATTCATTGTTATTTGTCGAAGAATTTTTTTGTCATCAATAATGAACAGGCCTCTAAGAGCATGTCATTGGTCCTCTAGATAAGCACCGTAATCCTTTGCGATCTGGTGTGTCAAGTCAGAAAGAAACAACAACAACACTGCCTCCATGTTTTCTCCCTCTCTTTGTCAGTTATCAATCAGTATGGTTACTAGTATTTAAAAAAATCTGGTTACCGGTATTTAAAATAACACCTGAATCAAGAAAGTAAATAAGGAACACTACTCAGATAAAGGGAAACACCAGACCTCAAGCAATCAAGGGCCAGTAAACACCTCCCAATCAAAGGATGCCTCCATTTTTTAAAAAAAGGATGCCTCCAGGCAATAGAGGCCAGGCTACCTCTATACAGATACCCTCAGTGATTGACTTTGCAGCTTCATGGCTAATTGATGCTCATCAAGCTTGGCAATTGCAACATTCACACTTGCTTCAACAGAATAGGGTTCTTTCTTCCACCCTGGACAATATTCCACAGAGATATAGACAGTCCACTTGCCTCATTTCCAACAGAATCTCTGAAGATGCCACTGCAGGCGAAACATCAGGAGAGAATGCTGCTGGAACATGCCCAGACAGCCTGGAAAACCCACAACAACCCAGTGATTCCAATCATAGAAGCTTTCGACAAAACAACAGCTTTTGACAACAAGAGCAAAGTTCAGTCCTCCAGGTGTTTTGGACTCCAACTCCCACAATTCCTAACAGCCGATAGGTAGTTAGAAATTGTGTGAGTTGGAGTCCAAAACACCTGGAGGGAGGGCCGAAGCTTGCCCAGACCTGCTTTGGCAGCTCGTCAGAGAGATTCATGCTCTCCAGACCTTCTCCATTCTCCTGTGTTTTGATGTGCTCCTAACCTGAATGTTTGCCTTTCAGGTGTAGTCCAAGGTGGAACCCTCCAAGGCCCAAATGCCTTAGTTTGATGGTGTTTGATTGTGTTTCTGGCCTGGTGGGGAATGGCCGCCATGGAAGACGCCGAGTCCCGCTTCATGCACTTCCTGCAACCCATTCGGGACCTCACCAAGAACTGGGAGGTCGACGTGGCGTCTCAGCTGGGAGAATACCTGGAGGAGGTGAGGTTCAGAACCCAAAACAAACACTTGGGGGGGGGGGGGGGCTTCATTCAGCCGATCGGAAGACATGCAAAGTTTTTACACGAGTTTCCAAAGCCCACTGGTGTTTTCATGGTTAAATTGAAACAACAAATGTGAGGTTTTAAGAATTCCCCAAAGCCTGTAGTTTTGTGTATTTCAGCCTGATGGATTCAAGGAGGCAGAAAGTGGATGCCTCCCTCTCAAAAAAGGAGCAGCAAAGGATGTCAAAGAAGTCTAAAACATGTTAGGCCATCAGGTCTCTTCCTGTTGCAATCCAGAGCAGGGAACGAGACCCTCAGATAACTATCCACCACACTTGGCTGTGAAAAACAATCCTTTTTTATTGAAGAAGAAATGGTTACAAAATAAAGGAAAAATGCAAGTCAAAAGCCACAGCAAAATCAGCAAGCATGAATTTAAATGCACAAGAACAAAACCCAAAGCCACACTGCAAAATACTGGAACCTGTTTAGTGATTCACTAACCGTACTTGATATCCTAGAAATCTTCCCAAGCTATGGCCAGGGAACCGGGAGAGCTGCCAAGGTCTTCATCAATTCTGAAACGATGCCTGAACTGAGACAGTCAGCCCGGCGGAAGGCAAATAAAGCCCAAGAATTGGTTCCATGAACCGCCCCTCTTCTTTGAAGCCAATGTTTTTAATTCTTGAATTCGGGAGGATCGACGCAAACTGAGTGATTTACTTCTGTCTTCCCAAATTTGGCCCCTTCTGTTGTCATTACAGTTAACAGGTGCAGAAGGGAGGGAAAGGTCAAGGTCTCCCTCTGAAACATTCTCAGGAACACTGGTACTTTCATTTTCCAAATCTACAGAAGTTCCTTCCTCACTAATTTCAGGAACATTGGCATTTTCCAAACCTACAGCAGTTTCTTCCTCACTAATTTCAGGAGCATTGGCATCAAAAGGCACATTTCCACTAGCATCAGTAAATATATTTTCATTAGCATCAGGAGGAACAAACAGAGAATCAGGTTCAAGTTCAAACTCAGGCTGAACCCCAACACTTCCCTTCAGATGGCTTCTGATATAATATTAGAGGGACCTTGGAAAGCACATTAGCTTGGAATGCCAATGGCTCCTGCATCCTTCTGTTTTCTACTGTTGATGTTGTTGTTTATTTATGCTCCATTGTGTTATAATGTTGATATATAGTTATTACTCTTCTATAGTTATTACCGGGATTGTGGCACAGCTGGCTGAGTGTCAGTTGCATTAAGATCACTCTGACGAAAAGGTCATGAGTTCGAAGCCAGCCCGGGTTGGAGTGGGTTTCCAACCGATTGTGTGTAGCCTGTTGTCGACCTTTGCAACCGGAAAGACAGTTGCATCTGTCAAGTAGGAAAATAAGGTACCACCTTAAAGTGTGGGGAGGCTAAATTAACTGATTTATGAGGCCATAAAAAGACTCCAGCAGAGCATTCCAGCGGGGAAGCATGCAGGAATGCGGGAATGTGGAAGTGATATGTTATTGAATGTTTGCTGATAATTTGTCTAATGCAGTTATTTATTTATTTATTTACCTTACTTATATACCGCTGTTCTCAGCCCGAAGGCGACTCACAGCGGTTCACAACAAATACGAACAGCAAAAATTCAGTGCTACAGTATAGAAACAGTTAACAACCTAACACATTACACAATTAATAAACAGTTACTACAATACCCATTCACTGTCGTCTCGTCATCAAAAACATGTTCTAGATTCGTCATCCATTGTTCCATTCCAGTGTTCATTAACCAATCATTGCACTAATTATTGGAACGCCTGCTCAAACAGCCAGGTCTTCACTTTTTTGCGGAATACCATTAGAGATGGTGCTAGTCTAATGTCCGTGAGGAAGGGCGTTCCACAGCCGAGGAGCCACCACCGAGAAGGCCCTATCTCTCGTTCCCGCCAGCCGTGCCTGTGAGGCAGGCGGGATCGAGAGCAGGGTCTCCCCGGAAGATCTCAAAGTCCTGGTGGGCTCGTAGGCAGAGATGCGGTCGGATAGGTATCTTGGGCCGGAACCGTTTAGGGCTTTAAAGGCCAACGCCAGCACTTTGAATTCAGCCCGGTAGCAGATCGGTAGCCAGTGGAGTTGGCGCAACAGGGGGGTTGTATGCTCCCTGCGCTCCGCTCCTGTTAAAATCATGGCTGCCGAGCGTTGGACTAGTTGGAGCTTCCGAGCTGTCTTCAAAGGCAACCCCACGTAGAGAGCGTTGCAGTAGTCTACACGGGATGTAACCAGAGCGTGGACTACTGTGGCCAAGTCAGACTTCCCAAGGTATGGGCGCAGCTGGCGCACAAGCTTTAGCTGTGCCAATGCTCCCCTGGTCACCGCCGAAACCTGGGGTTCCAGGCTCAGCGATGAGTCCAGGGTCACACCCAAATAGCCTCTGTGTATGTCTGTATATGTTTGTATGTCAGAAATTGGCATTGAATGTTTGCCATATATGTGTACACTGTAATCCGCCCTGAGTCCCCTGCGGGGTGAGGAGAAGGGCGGAATAGAAAAGCTGTAAATAATAATAATAATAGTAATAATAATAATATTGTGTCTCTGTGGTTCCCTTGTGAAGACCTTGCATTTTTTTATTCCGCAGCTGGAACAGATCTGTATTTCCTTTGATGGCGGCAAAACCACGATGAATTTTATCGAAGCGGCGCTGCTGATCCAAGGTTCAGCCTGCATTTACAGTAAGAAGGTGAGGAGGACGTCATCTATTGCACAGGGATGTGTGTGTAACTAATGGAATAGCGTTTGTACCACGAGGAGAATGGGCTTTAACCAAAGATATGGATGCCAGGCGCTCTGGGACTTCCCTCCGAGCAAACATGGCCGATCCCGTTGGCTTGTCTTTTGCTTCTTCTCTGCGGGGTTTGTCTCCAGATGGTGGGATCTGGGCTGTAGGAGCAGTTCTTTATTAGATGCCCCTTTGGTATCCTCTAAGTCAGGGGTCCTCAAACTTTTCAAACTGGATGAATTGATACCAAATTTGGACACAAGACACCTCTCAGGCCAACGAGTGACCATCACTCATAACAACACTGAAAAACACAGCAGAAGAGACTTAAAGAGCAAAAAAACAACACCAACAACAAAAAATACATTGCAACGCATGCGCAAAATCACATATATGCACAAACATACATATATACACAGATATATGCATATATACACACACAAAACATATACACAGAAAGGGGGAGGGAAGGAAGGAGAGAAGAGAAGGAGGGAGAGAAAGAGGGAAAGAAAGAAGTAGAGAAGGAAGGAGAAGAAGGAAAAAAGTGAAAGAAGGAAGGAAAGAGAGAGGGAAGGAAGGAAGGAAGGAAAGAGACAAAGAGCAAAGGAAGCAAGGAAAGAAACAGCTAGAGAAGGAAGAAAGAAGAAGGGAAAGAAAAAGAGGGAGGGAAGGAAGGAGAGAAAGAGGGAGGAAAGGTTGGCGGGTACAGCTAGTAAATAAATAATTATCCTGCAGCGCATTTTGCTATAGTTTTCCCATGAATATCTCATCATAGAGATATTTATGGAAAAACTACAGCAAAACGCGCTGCAGGATAATGTCCCAGTCATTGAGCTCCCATTGGTGTTATGGTTTAAATCAGAAGTCCTCAAACCTTTTAAATCAGGGGCCAGTTCACTCTCCCTCAGACCGTTGGAGGGCCGGACTATAGGTTTTTTAAAAAACAAAAATCAATAAAAATATCCCTCTGCACATTGCAGATATCTGATTTTGCTGTGTGGAAGGGCCCTTAGAGGGAGGGGGTTCTTTCTTGCCCTCTTTAGGCAGTAATTCCAGGAGCAGAGAAGGGGAAATCTTCCCATTTCTAGTCTGAACAAAATCTGGCTACCAGTATTAAAAAAAACTCTAAAGTTATAACTGTAAATAAAGAACAACACTCAAACACAGGGGAACTCCAGACAAGAAATAATCAGGGCCAGCTAATCACCTCTCAACAAAGGATTCTCCCTGAAAACGGTCAGGCTATGAAATGGTCATCAAGGTGGCCAATTGAAACATTCATACCTACCTCCAACGGACAAGAGTTCTTTCCCCCACCCTGGATCTTCCACAGTTTTCCTAGTGAAAGATTTTCCTCTGACATGAAGTCCAGTCGTGTCTGACTCTGGGGTGTGGTGCTCATCTGCATTTCTAAGTCGAAGAGCCGGCGTTGTCCGTAGACACCTCCAAGGTCATGTGGCCGGTATGACTCCGTGGAGCGCCGGGGCAGCCTCGCTTGACTGGCTCACGCTGCCCATCGTGCTCATCTGCATTTCTAAGTCGAAGAGCTGGCGTTGTCCGTAGACACCTCCAAGGTCATGTGGCCGGCATGACTGCATGGAGCGCCGGGGCAGCCTCCCTTGGCTGGCTCACACTGCCCATCAGGCCTGACGGATAGTGTGAGCCAGCCAAGGGAGGGGCACTGTGTGTGGGGGGGGGGGGCACGCTCCTCCTCTGCGGGCCGGATAAGTGCCCTTGGCGGGCTGGAAGTGGCCCGCGGGCCGTAGTTTGAGGACCCCTGCTCTAAGTCTTTGTTTTGTTTTGTTTTCTCAGGTGGAGTACCTCTACTCCTTGGTCTACCAGGCCCTCGACTTCATCTCCAACAAGAAGTGAGTCAAAGCTTTTGGGGTGGGAAGAAAATTAGTTTTCATTTCTGAACTGGGAGGAAGGTCCTGTATGGAATGAGTTCCATGTATCTGCAGGACATGCATCCCTTGATGTGGCACCCTTAGGCGTTTTGTAGGTCCCCTATGTGACTCTGATGTTCCTGGGCTGGAAATCCTGCATTTCCATAGGGTTTGCTGTCATCACTATCCATGCAAAGTCTGGGAATGTATCTCCTGTAGATGCAGGGGTCCTATTGGACTTTTAGTTATACACACGCGTTGCTGTGGCCAACCTTCCCTCCCTCTTTCTCTCCTTCTTTCCCTCCTTCCTTCCTTCCCCTTTTTCTTTCCTTCCCTCCTTCCTTCTCTACCTCTTTCCTTCCTTCACTTTTTGCTTCCATCCTTCCTTTTCTTTTTCCTCCTTTCCTTCCCTCCCTCTTTCTCGAATCAATTGAAACATTCCCACCTAGCTCCAACAGAAAAGAGTCCATTGTCCCACCCTGGTCATTCCACAGATATATAAATCCATCTTCCTAGTTCCAACAGACCTCACAACCTCTGAGGATGCTTGCCATAGATGCAGGCGTTCGAATAATTAGTGCAATGATTGGTAATGAACATAGGAATGGAACAATGGATGACGAATCTGGATTATGTTTTTGTTGATTTGACAATAGTGAATGGTTATTGTAGTAACTGTTTATTAATTGTGTAATGTGTTAGGTTGTTAACTGTTTTTTAAACTGTAGTATTGAATTTTTGCTGTTCTTATTTGTTGTGAACCGCTGTGAGTCGCCTTCGGGCTGAGAACAGCGGTATATAAGGAAAGTAAATAATAATAATAATAATAATAAATAAATAATAATATAGCCTGAAAAAACCTAAAACAACCCAGTGATTCCGGCCATGAAAGCCTTCGACAGTGCATTTTCCTTGTTTGTTTTTCACTTTCCTTCCCAACCAATCAGGCGCGATAAGCTGCCGACGTCAGTGGGAGCGGATGGGGCCGACGCGGACGCCAGCGCTGGACCAGCTGACGAGAAGGAAGAGGTGAGCACTGGGCAGGGAAGGGCTGGAGGCGGGGTTGTTTTCTTCCCTGGTGGAGGAGCCGTGGTGGAGAATGCCAATCACTGCATCAGTGGTCAATTGGAATCATGTTCATAGGCTCCTAGAGTTGGAAGGGACCCTCCCGGGCCATCCATCCCAACCCCAGTTCTGCCAGGCAGGAATAACTAGTGAAAACACTCCTGACAGATAGCCATCCAGCCTGTGTTTAAAACCCTCAAGAGATGGGAGGGAGAGCCAATACTCCAGAAGAACAGGAGCTAATTCAAAATGATCTTGACAATCATAGAACTGCGAACTGCACCTTCAGGGGGAGTGTCACCCCATTCCGCACAGGCTGTAACCCAATGCCCTGTTCGACCTTGCGACTGACCAGAAGGACCTGGTTTCAATGTCTGGATTCAATTTCAATTTCTTAGCCCTCATCCAGACCGTCACAGCTGCCAAGCACCGGTTCAGGACCTGAACAGCCTCCTAGTCAATATCCTTCTGACTCCGTAGTGCCTAGAACTGGAAACAAAATTAAATGAGCAGAAATAATGTAAATGAACAGAAGATGTGGGATCTAGCCGTCCCTGCAGCCCATACCTTGTGGCCTTGAGCATCTTTTCTGCCTGTTTGTTCCTCTCAAAAATGTGTGCCATTAACGGAATTTCTGCCTTTGCAGTTCCTCCCGTTGGACGACAACCAAGAAACCAGCAGAGCCAGCATGGACTTGCGGGATGACCAGCAGCGCAGTGTGAGTCCTTTGCGCGCTCTTGCCTTTGCTTTCAAGGGATATTTCTTGTTGTAGGTTGTTAACTGTTTCTCTACTGTAGCACTGAATTTTTGCCGTTCGTATTTGTTGTGAACCGCTGTGAGTCGCCTTCGGGCTGAGAACAGCGGTATATAAGTAAGGCAAATAAATAAATAAATAAATAAATAATATTTCTAATGTTTAGGGAGAAAGTTCAGGAATTCTGGTGCACTAGACAATGATAGATGGTTGTTACTAGGCCTGGGTAACAACGCAAAAATTTGTTTCTAAAATCGATTTGTATTTGGGGGGTTTTTGCGTTTCGATATTTAAAATAATTACAAAACTTTCCTTTAAAAAAGTTCAGTATTTACGAAATTTCGTTAATATTAACGAATCGATTCGTTAAGATGGCGGACCCCCCGCGCATGCGCAAATCACCCCCGGAACTTCGTTATTAAGACGGGGGTCGATTCGTTAAGGTGATAACGAATCGATTCGTTAAAAAAGAAATATTTATCAGAAATATTTAAAAATGGAAAATTAACAAAAAACTTGCCCTCTTGTGGAGCAAACACAGCCACAGGACAGGGAGAAACGCACACACAGGCACACAAGATTCTTTTCTTTTTTTAGATTATTTTTTGAATTTTTTGAAGAATTAAAGAAAAATATTTATCAGAAATATTTAAAAATGGAAAATTAACAAAAAGCTTTCCCTGCCCTGTTGTAGGGCGAAAACAGGGCAAAGCCTCCCCGCTGCTCCCAGCCCAGGTCTCACAACCGCCCTCGCTCTCCCAACAACAATGAATGAATCAATGTGAATGAATGAATGCAAGCAATGAATGAAAGCAAGAAATGAATGAATGCAAGCAATGAATGAATCCAAGCCAAGCCTCCCTCCCGAACCTCCCGTCTCCTCCCTCGCCTTCGCAATGAGCAATGCAGCCACGCGGAGCCGCTTTTAAAGGGCAGCCCGCCCAATCACAATCAGCCACGGTGCTTGGGAGCGCCGGATTGGCTCCCAGGGCACCCAGCATCCTCCATCCCTTAAACGTCATTTCCGAAACGGGCGGAAGCTCGTAAATGATGGAGGATGCCGTTTCGATATTGAAAAACCCTTCCGGGTTTGAAAATATGTTTTGAAATCATTTTGTAATTGTTAAAAATAACGAATATTTAACGAATTACAAAATTAACGAACGAAACCGCCCAGGCCTAGTTGTTACAATGGAAAACAATAGGAAAAGAGGGAGGCCATAGTGCAGGTGGGTGAAGCAGAGGCTGTTCTATGTTTGCAAGACCCGATCAAGGCTATAAGTGGATGCTCAGGACTCATGGAGGCCTCTCATTCATAGGGTTGCCATCTGTCAAAGCAAGCTTGACCGCAGGTAACAACTAGCACTAACTTCGCACATTCTAAGCACAACACATTGTATGGTTCAATATAGTCTTCTTCTTCTTCTTCTTCTTCAATATAGTCTTCTTCTTCTTCTTCTTTTTATTATTATTATTATTATTATTTGAAACACTACAACAGTGTTTCTCAACCTTCCTAATGCTGGGACCCCTGAATACAGTTCCTCATGTTTTGGTGACCCCCAACCATAACATTATTTTTGTTGCGACTTCAGAACTGTAATTTTGCTACTGTTGTGAATCGTAATGTAAATATCTGATATGCAGGATATATTTTCATTCACTGGACCAAATTTGGCACAAATGAAATGCCCAAATTTGAATACTGGTGAGGTTGGGGAATTGGTTTTGTCATTTGGGAGTTGTAGTTGCTGGGATTTATAGTTAACCTTCAATCAAAGAGCATTCTCAACTCCACCAACTATGGAACAGAACTCCTATGACCAAGAGAAATTGAACAAATAAACAACAATTAGTGGGCACTGATGTTGAGTTTTGGAGTTGTAGTTCACCTACCTCCAGAAAGTACTGTGGACTCAAACAATAATGGTTCTGGACCAAACTTGGCACAAATAGTCAATATGCCCAAATGTGAACACTGTGGAGTTTGGGGAAAATAGACCTTGACATTTGGGAGTTGAAGTTGTTGGGATTTATAGTTAATCTACAATCAAAGAGCACTCTGAACCCAGTTCATAAGGGATATGCACCAAACTCAACACAATACCTACATGGCCAACATTGATTATTAGTGGGGTTGAGGGGGCCGTTTTTGCATTTTGAGAGTTGTCATTCACCAACACCAAAAAGAAAGAGAAGGACAGGCATAGAGATATTCAGCTTTCTCTGCCAAAAGGGTTCCTAAGACCATCAGAAGTATGTGTTTTCTGATGGTCTTCGGCAACCCCCCTGAAACCCTCACGTGACCCCCTCAGGGGTCCCGACCCCCAGGTTAAGAAACACTGCACTACAAGATGAGTCCACAGCAGACACTCTGCTGGCTGTTGAATTGGATCACACGTCGGACACTTCCCAACCGTCTAGGACTGTGTGATGTATTGGCAAATGATGCGTGCAGATCCCAGTAAGGTGGCCTTTTGCATTTGACAGATGGTAATCTTGTCAGCCCAGTTGTGTTTAAGTGCAGGCCAAGGTCTTTAGGCACTGCACCCAGTGTGCCCATCACCACTGGGACCACCTTGACTGAGTCTTTGCAGTTCGATCTTTAAATCCTCATATCGTGTCAGCTTTTCCAGTTTCTCTGCAATCCTGCTGTCACCTGGGATGATGATGATGATTATTATTATTATTTTATACTTATACCCTGCTTTTATTATTTTATACTTATACCCAGCAAATATGGAAAAGACAAGAATGGCCATCAGACTGGAAAAAATCAACTTATATCCCCATACCAAAAAAAGGGAAATGCGAAAGACTGCTCAAACTTCCGTACAGTGGCCCTTATTTCTCATGCCAGTAAGGTAATGCTCAAGATCCTGCAAGGAAGACTCCAGCAATACATGGAGCGAGAGTTGCCAGATGTTCAAGCTGTGTTTAGAAAAGGTAGAGGAACGAGAGACCAAATTGCCAATATCCGCTGGATAATGGAGAAAGGCAGGGAGTTTCAGAAAAACATCTACTTCTGCTTCATTGACTATTCTAAAGCCTTTGACTGTGTGGATCATCATAAATGGTGGCAAGTTCTTAGTGGGATGGGCATCCCAAGCCCCCTTCCCTCTCTCCTGAGGAATCTGTACAAGGACCAAGGAGCAACAGTCAGAACTGACCACAGAACAGGAGACAGGTTCAAGATTGGGAAAGGCGTCCGGCAAGGCTGCATCCTCTCACCCAACCTTTTTAACTTGTATGCAGAACACATCATGCGAGGATGTGCGGGGCTTGAGGAATGCAAAGCTGGGGTGAAAATTGCTGGAAGAAACATTAACAACCTCAGATATGCAGATGACACCACTCTGATGGCCGAAAGCGAGGAGGAGCTGAGGAGCCTTCTAATCAAGGTGAAAGAAGAAAGCGCAAAAGCAGGGTTGCAGCTAAACGTCAAAAAAACCAAGATTATGGCAACAAGAATGATTGACAACTGGAAAATAGAGGGAGAAACCGTGGAGGCCGTGAAAGACTTTGTATTTCTAGGCGCAAAGATTACTGCAGATGCAGACTGTGGCCAGGAAATCAGAAGACGCTTCCTTCTTGGGAGGAGAGCAATGTCCAGTCTCGATAAAATAGTAAAGAGTAGAGACATCAGACTGGCAACAAAGATCCATTGCCTAGTCAAAGCCATGGTATTCCCTGTAGTCACCTACGGATGTGAGAGCTGGACCTTAGGGAAGGCTGAGCGAAGGAAGATCGATGCTTTTGAGCTGTGGTGTTGGAGGAAAGTGCTGAGAGTGCCTTGGACTGCGAGAAGATCCAACCTGTCCATCCTCCAGGAAATAAAGCCCGACTGCTCACTGGAGGGAAAGATACTAGAGACAAAGTTGAAGTACTTTGGCCACATCATGAGGAGACAGGAAAGCCTAGAGAAGACAATTATGCTGGGGAAAGTGGAAGGCAAAAGGAAGAGGGGCCGACCAAGGGCAAGGTGGATGGATGGCATCCTTGAAGTGACTGGACTGACCTTGAGCGAGCTGGGGGTGGTAACGGCCGACAGGGAGCTCTGGCGTGGGCTGGTCCATGAGGTCACGAAGAGTCGGAGACAACTGAACGAATGAACAACAACACCCTGCTTTATCTCCCCAAAGGGGACTCAAAGCGGCTTGACGGAGATGGTTTGGTCAATGATTTTCATACAGACGATGACAGAGAGGCCCCAGTCAGAGGGCTTTTTTCTGACCCGGAGTGCAACATATACAATCTAATAATATTATAATAATAATAATAATTTTGATTTCTTGCCCGCCGCGCCTCCCTCACTTCTCCAGGCGGGTTACAACATTGCTAAAACACATTTATTTAAAAACATTCTTTAAAATATACATATTAAAACATATTTCTACAAAATACATACTAAAATGCACAAAACAAAGGATGAGCATAAGATACAAGTTTAATATTCGTCATTATCACTGTCCTTTTAATATCCTTTCAGTGCTTTTCTATGGAGCCCCCAGTGACGCAATGGGTTAAACCAGGCATCCTCAAACTGCGGCCCTCCAGCTCCCAGAATTCCTGACAACTGAACAAGCTCATTAGGGCTTCTGGAAGTTGGAGGGCCACAGTTTGAGGATGCCTGGGTTAAACTCTTGTGCCAGCAGGATTGACGATTAACAGGTCGGAGGTTCGAATTCGGTGAGAGTGCGGATGAGCTCCCTCTGTCAGCTCCAGCTCCCCATACGGGAACGTAAGAGGAGCCTCCCACAACATCAGAAACATCCGGGCCTCCCCGGGCAACATCCTTACACGCAGCCAATTCTCTCACACCGGAAGCGACTTGCAGTTTCTCAAGTCGTTCCTGACACACACACACACAAATGCTTTTCTATGAGCGTTGGTTTTTCAATGTATTATTATTTATGAGTTCCCTGCAAGTAACCTCCTCCTATTTTTATCTCATTAGAGTTTTTAATCATTTTATCCTGTACACGTGGCCCGCCCACTGTTATCGTGATTGTGTTTATTGGAATGTTATTTTGTTACTGTGTTTATACTTTTTAAAAATGTAATTTTGACGATGTTGCTTATTGTTTACGTTTTATTTTGCTGTAATATGTTGTCCTGGGCTTGGCCCCATGTAAGCCGCTCCGAGTCCCCATTGGGGAGATGGTGGAGGGGTATAAATAAAGGTTGTTGTTGTTGTTGTTGTTGTTGTTGTTGTTGTTGTTGTTGTTGTTGTTGTTATCCACTGTTTGATGCTCTATGGCAAGCTGCCTTGGGTCTCCTATTGGGAGAAAAGCAGAGTGTAAATACTAGGCACTTAATATATAAATCCTTTCTCCATCACCTTTGCCTTGTCTTTCTAGTCAGTCAACATTGTGCCTTTGACGCCGATGGCCTTGGTCCCACCAGAGGAGGCCGAAAAGAAGGGCAACCCACTCTTCAGGTAAGGATCACGAAGGAAGGTTGGTGATCATCGCCAGGCGTGCTGAGGGTGTGTGCTGCTTGCTTTATCTCTGCCTGGCCCCCCTTCTCTCCCCCCGCAGCCAGAAAGGGGAGATGCTGGCCAGCCGGAGGGACTTCCGCATGAACACCTACACCCCGCACGTCAACGGCACCTTCATGCTGCAGCTGGCGGACCTCTCGCCCACCCAGTGCCCACCCAGGCGCGACAGAGAGTGCCAATCCATGGGTAAGGACCACCCACCCACTGCTCTTGTTCCCTTATGGCAGGCGCGGGCCAAACTTCGGCCCTCCTCCAGGAAACTTTGGACCTCAATTTCCACAATTTCTAACAGCCAAGGGACGGAGTTGAAGAGAGGGAAAAAGGACAATTGGCAGTGTACAAAGTTCTTACCAATACCGGCTGTTAGGAATTGTGGGAGATGAAGTCCAAAACACTTGGAGGAGGTCCAAAGTTTGCCCGTGCCTGCTCTAAGGAAATAACGGATGCCTTTGCATATGATTTTCCAGACTGACACAGCTATGGCTCTGACTTCTATTTGCAGCCATGTTGATAGTTAACAGGAAGGTGTGTGTGTGTTAATATTACCTTTGAGTGGATTTCTCAGTCGTGGTCTTCTTCCTTGCAGGAGTCCAGAGCCTCGTCCCTGCAACAGGAGCCACGCCTCTGGAAGGCAGCATATGTAACACGCCCATCCTTGCCCTGGACTTCTCTGATGATGGAGGTGAGCTTTTGACCAAATTCCCTGACCAAATAGCCCCTTGCTATGCAGGAACATAGAATCAAAGCACCCCTGGCAGATGGCCATTCAGCCTCTTTAAAACTTCAAGAGGAGGAGACTCCACCAGGCTTCCAGGCTGCAGCAGATACCTCTGCTGAACTGCTCTGACCATTAGGAAGGTCTTCCTAATAGTCAGGTGGAATCTCTTGTTCTGAAATTTGAATCCATTTCATAGAATCCTAGAATCAAAGAGTTGGGAGAGACCTCCTGGGCCATCCAGTCCAACCCCATTCTGCCAAGAAGCAAGAATATTGCATTCAAAGCACCCCTGACAGATGGCCACCCAGCCTCTGTTTCAAAGCCCCCAAAGAAGGAGCCTCCACCACACTCCGGGGCAGAGAGTTCCACTGCTGAACGGCTCTCACAGTCAGGAAGTTCTTCCTCATGCTCAGATGGAATCTCTTCTCTTGTAGTTTGAATTATTTGTCATGTCAGATCAACCAGTCAATTATATTACATTTCTAACAGAACAAAGCAAACAAACAGAGAAAATACAAAATGTGCGAGTTTGGTAGTTGATTAAATGTCCTTTGACCAGTATCTGGCCCCTTGGAGTGCTTCCGGTGTTGCTGTAAGAAGGTCCTCCCTTGTGCATCATGTGGCAGGGCTCCGGTTGCAATGCAGCAGGTGGTCAGTGGTTTGTTCCTCTCCACACTCGCATGTCGTGGATTCCACTTTGTGGCCCCATTTCTTGAGGTTGGCTCTGCATCTCGTGGTGCCAGAGTGCAGTCTGTTCAGCGCCTTCCAAGTCGCCCAGTCCTCTGTGTGCCCAGGAGGGAGTCTCTCATTTGGTATCAGCCATTGGTTGAGGTGCTGGATTTCAGCCTGCCACTTTTGGACTCTCGTTTGCTGAGGTGTTCCAGCGAGTGTCTCTGTAGATCTTAGAAAGCTATTTCTAGATTTAAGTTGTTGTAGTTTGAATCCATTGTTCCATTGCGTCCTAGTTCTCCAGGGAAGCAGAAAACAAGCTTGCTCCCTCCTCCTCCCTGTGGCTTCCTCTCACATATTTATACATGGCTATCATATCCTCTCAGTCTTCTCTTCTGGAAGCTAAACATGCCCAGCTCCTTAAGCCGCTCCTCATAGGGCTTGTTCTCCAGACCTTTGATCATTTGAGTCGCCCTCCTCTGGACACATTCCAGCTTAGAGGCAACTTCTCCCTTCAATTGTGTATCTTATTTTACAGTTGACACACACACTGACAGATTTCTTACCTGCTCCAACAGACTTTTATTGACCGTATCCTTTATTTTAGATTCGGTATCCAGTGCTTTGGTACACCTTTCACAATGTAGCAGTATATATTATACCTGCTCACATCAGTGTGACGCAGGTTTGCAGCTTGGGAGTGATCCTGGACTCATCGCTGAGCCTGGAAGCCCAGGTCTCGGCGGTGGCCGGGAGAGCTTTTGCACAATTAAAACTTGTGCGCCAGCTGCGCCCGTACCTTGGGAAGTCGGATCTGGCCACAGTGGTCCACGCTCTTGTCACATCCCGAATAGATTACTGCAACGTGCTCTACGTGGGGTTGCCTTTGAAGACTGTTCGGAAACTTCAGTTAGTCCAACGGATGGCAGCTAGATTACTCACCGTAGCGTCATACAGGGAGCACACCACCCCCCTGTTGTGTCAGCTCCACTGGCTGCCGATCCAGTTCCAAGCACAATTCAAAGTTCTTGTGGGTTTTTTCGGGCTATATGGCCATGTTCTAGAGGCATTTCTCCTGACGTTTCGCCTGCATCTATGGCAAGCATCCTCAGAGGTCTGCTGGAGCTGGGAAAAAGGGGTTTATATATCTGTGGAATGACCAGGGAGAGACAAAAGGCTTTTGTAAGTTGGGCTAGGTGTGAATCTTTTCAACTGACCACCTTGATTAGCATACAATGGGCTGACAGTGCCTGGAGCAAACCCTTCTTGAAAGGTGATTAGATGTCCCTGCCTGTTTTTCTCTCTGCTGTTTTAATTTTAGAATTTTTTTTTTTAATACTGGTAGCCAGATTTTGTTCATTTTCATGGTTTCTTCCTTTCTGTTGAAATTGTCCACATGTTTGTGGATTTCAATGGCTTCTCTGTGTAGTCTGACATGGTGGTTGTGAGAGTGGTCCAGCATTTTTGTGTTCTCAAATAAAATGCTGTGTCCAGGTTGGTTCATCAGGTGCTCTGCTATGGCTGATTTCTCTGGTTGGAGTAGTCTGAAGTAGTCTTTCATGTTCCTGGATTCTTGTTTGGGCGCTGCGTTTGGTGGTCCCTCTGGAGACTTCTTGTCCACAGCTGCATGGGATACAATGGTAGACTCCTGCAGAGGTGAGAGGATCCCTCTTGTCCTTTGCTGAACTTAGCATTTGTTGGATTTTCTTGGTGAGTCTGTAGATAGTTTGTATGTTGTGTTTCCTCATCAGCTTCCCTCTGCGGTCAGTGGTTCCCTTGATGTATGGCAGGAACACTTTCCCTCTGGGTGGATCTTCATCTTGTCTCTTGTGGCTTCTTCTTGGTCTTGCAGCTCTTCTGATGTCTGAGGTGGAGTCTCCATTGGCCTGTAGAGCCCAGTTGAGGTGGTTCAGTTCAACTTGGAGGAGGTGGGGTTCACAGATTCTTTTTGCACAGTCTGCCAAGGCTTTCATGGGGCTTCTTTTTTGACTTGGGTGATGGTTGGAGTTTTTATGTAGATATCTATCTGTGTGTGTGGGTTTTCTGTAGACAGTGTGACCCAATTGTTGATCTGGTTTGCGGATGACGAGGACATCTAGAAAAGGCAGTCTTCCTTCCTTTTCTTTTTCCATAGTGAACTGGATGTTTGGGTGGATGCTGTTAAGATGGTCCAGGAACCTGTTGAGTTCTTCATCTCCATGGCTCCAAATGGTGAAAGTGTCATCCACATATCTGAACCATATCGTGGGCTTTTTGGTTGCTGTTTCAAGAGCTTGTTCAACAATTCAAAGTGCTGGTTTTGACCTACAAATCCCTATATGGCTCCGGCCCAGCGTATCTGTCCAAACATATCTCCCTCTACATCCTGCCTCGGAGTTTAAGATCTTCTGGGGAAGCCCTGCTCTCGACCCCACCTCTATCACAAGTGAGGTTGGTGGGGACGAGGGACAGGGCCTTCTCAGTGGTGGCCCCTCGCCTGTGGAATTCACTCCCCGGGGAAATTAGGTCGTCAACATCCCTCCTCTCCTTCAGAAGGAAGCTGAAAACATGGATATGGGACCAGGCCTTTGGGTAATCTGGCAGACTGACAAGATAATAACGACCAGAATCTGGAAAGGATTATGGTAATGCTGAATGGACTTATGGATAATAATAATAAACCTTTATTTGTACCCCGCTACCATCTCCCGAAGGACTCGGTGCGGCTTACAAGAGTCTGAGCCCAAATACAACAATAAAAACGGCAGCAACAACAACAACAACACAATAACTCAAAGAAAAAAACAACAAAGCAATAGCATTAACAACATCTAATGACGCAATTAAAAACAATGGCTGGGCCAAATGTAATAATTAAAATTAAAAAGTGGTGGGCATGGCAAGGTGGGGGGTTTGGAGGGGGATGGGCATGCAGATCCTGGATCTCTGATAATTTTAGAACTTGGTGAACGTTGGCCACTAGACTGGCTTTTAGTTGTTATTGTGTTAATTGAATGTTTTAACTATTGTGGTTATTGCTGTTATGTATTTTATCTGTTGAATTGTTGGCATCGAACTGTGCCGGTTGTAAGCCGCCCTGAGTCCCCCCTCCGGGGTTGAGAAGGGCAGGGTAGAAGTGCCTGAAATAAATAAAATAAATAAATATTTCTCTCCACATACACATGCAGACCTTACAGATTCTTTGAAGCTTGTGAATTAGGATTAATTTAGGCTCTACCTTCTCAGAATGGCTTGTAGCATTAACTTCCTGCGAGGCCAAACCCTGGCTTTGGCACGCTTTCCTGTGCTTGGAAATGCAAAGCGAGGGCGGGCTCCTTTGCAAGGCTGGGCTCAGCTTGCAGCTTGGGAGTGATCCTGGACTCATCGCTGAACCTGGAGCCTCAGGTCTCAGCGGTGGCCGGGAGAGCTTTTGCGCAATTAAAACTTGTGCACCAGCTGCGCCCGTACCTCGGGAAGTCTGATCTGGCCACAGTGGTCCACGCTCTTGTAACATCCCGTATAGACTACTGCAACGCACTCTACGTGGGGTTGCCCTTGAAGACTGTTCGGAAACTTCAACTGGTCCAACGAGCGGCAGCCAGGCTGCTCACCGGAGCGACATACAGGGAACACACAACTCCCTTGTTGTGTCAGCTCCACTGGCTGCCAATCCAGTTCCGAGCACAATTCAAGGTGCTGGTTTTGACCTACAAAACCCTTTACGGTTCCGGTCCAGCGTATCTGTCCGAACGTATCTCCCTCTACGTCCCACCCCGGAATTTGAGATCATCTGGGGAGGCCCTGCTCTCGACCCCACCACTATCACAAGTGAGGCTGGTGGGGACGAGGAGCAGGGCCTTCTCAGTGGTGGCCCCCCACCTGTGGAACTCACTCCCGGGGGAAATTAGGACATCAACATCCCTCCTTGCCTTTAGGAGAAAGGTAAAGACGTGGCTATGGGACCAGGCCTTTGGGCATCCTGACAATTAGATATGGAAACCAGATGGATAGGACTGACAATGTGCGGAAAGTAGAACCTAACTATGAGTCTGTTAAACGCTGTCCAGCAATGAGGTTTGTATTGCTTTTACTGTTTTAATGGTTTTAACTGCTTTTACTTTATGGGTTTTTTGGATGTGTCGCCGATAATAATGACTGCTTAGGTTAATTGTTATCATTGTTATAATTGCTATTGTTATTGATGTTATGTTTTGTTATCATGTAATGCGGGCATCGAATTGTGCCTTGTTGTGTAAGCCGCCCTGAGTCCCCCTCGGGGTGAGAAGGGCGGGGTATAAGCGACTGTAATAAATAAATAAATAAATAAATAAATTGTTCTTCCTCCTTCTCCAAACGCAGGAGGGGACGACGCTTTCTGTGAGAACGATGGCGGCTGCGATGGCGTCCTGCCGGACCTTCTGGAGCAATCCCTGGATGCTCCTCCCGAGGATGCCGAGGAGCACGTGGCCCGACAGATGGTATGAACAGGAAGCCTTGTCGTCTAGGAATAGTTTGGTCTCTATGGCAGAGGAGAGCGCAGCGCAGCCAGGGCTGTACAGAGGCTCATGGGAGGAAACCGGAGGGGAAATTGATATTATTCAATACACAACAAGATGAGTCCCCAGCAAACAAGATCCCTATGCTGGCTTTTGATTGGATCACATACTGAACACTTCCCAAGTGTCCAGGACTGTGTCATGCATCGGCAAATAATACGTGCTGATCCGACTATTATTATTATTATTATTATTATTATTATTATTATTATTATTGTGTTTATTTAGAGCTTTCCCCACAGGGTCCCTCCTGTCCCTGATTACTCTATAGATCAGTGTTTCTCAACCTGGGGGTCGGGACCCCTGGGGGGTTTGCAAGGGGGGTCAGAGGAGTCTCCAAAGACTGTCAGAATATACCAGTGGTTCTCAACCTGGGGGTCGGGACCCCTGGGGGGTTTGCAAGGGGGGTCAGAGGAGTCTCCAAAGACTGTCAGAATATACCAGTGGTTCTCAACCTGGGGGTCGGGACCCCTGGGGGGTTTGCAAGGGGGGTCAGAGGAGTCTCCAAAGACTGTCAGAATATACCAGTGGTTCTCAACCTGGGGGTCGGGACCCCTGGGGGGTTTGCAAGGGGGGTCAGAGGAGTCTCCAAAGACTGTCAGAATATACCAGTGGTTCTCAACCTGGGGGTCGGGACCCCTGGGGGGTTTGCAAGGGGGGTCAGAGGAGTCTCCAAAGACTGTCAGAATATACCAGTGGTTCTCAACCTGGGGGTCGGGACCCCTGGGGGGTTTGCAAGGGGGGTCAGAGGAGTCTCCGAAGACTGTCAGAATATACCAGTGGTTCTCAACCTGGGGGTCGGGACCCCTGGGGGGTTTGCGAGGGGGGTCAGAGGAGTCTCCAAAGACTGTCAGAATATACCAGTGGTTCTCAACCTGGGGGTCGGGACCCCTGGGGGGTTTGCAAGGGGGGTCAGAGGAGTCTCCAAAGACTGTCAGAATATACCAGTGGTTCTCAACCTGGGGGTCGGGACCCCTGGGGGGTTTGCAAGGGGGGTCAGAGGAGTCTCCAAAGACTGTCAGAATATACCAGTGGTTCTCAACCTGGGGGTCGGGACCCCTGGGGGGTTTGCAAGGGGGGTCAGAGGAGTCTCCAAAGACTGTCAGAATATACCAGTGGTTCTCAACCTGGGGGTCGGGACCCCTGGGGGGTTTGCAAGGGGGGTCAGAGGAGTCTCCAAAGACTGTCAGAATATACCAGTGGTTCTCAACCTGGGGGTCGGGACCCCTGGGGGGTTTGCAAGGGGGGTCAGAGGAGTCTCCAAAGACTGTCAGAATATACCAGTGGTTCTCAACCTGGGGGTCGGGACCCCTGGGGGGTTTGCAAGGGGGGTCAGAGGAGTCTCCAAAGACTGTCAGAATATACCAGTGGTTCTCAACCTGGGGGTCGGGACCCCTGGGGGGGTTGCAAGGGGGGTCAGAGGAGTCTCCAAAGACTGTCAGAATATACCAGTGGTTCTCAACCTGGGGGTCGGGACCCCTGGGGGGTTTGCAAGGGGGGTCAGAGGAGTCTCCAAAGACTGTCAGAATATACCAGTGGTTCTCAACCTGGGGGTCGGGACCCCTGGGGGGTTTGCAAGGGGGGTCAGAGGAGTCTCCAAAGACTGTCAGAATATACCAGTGGTTCTCAACCTGGGGGTCGGGACCCCTGGGGGGTTTGCAAGGGGGGTCAGAGGAGTCTCCAAAGACTGTCAGAATATACCAGTGGTTCTCAACCTGGGGGTCGGGACCCCTGGGGGGTTTGCAAGGGGGGTCAGAGGAGTCTCCAAAGACTGTCAGAATATACCAGTGGTTCTCAACCTGGGGGTCAGGACCCCTGGGGGGTTTGCAAGGGGGGTCAGAAGAGTCTCCAAAGACTGTCAGAATATACCAGTGGTTCTCAACCTGGGGGTCGGGACCCCTGGGGGGTTTGCAAGGGGGGTCAGAAGAGTCTCCAAAGACTGTCAGAATATACCAGTGGTTCTCAACCTGGGGGTCGGGACCCCTGGGGGGTTTGCAAGGGGGGTCAGAGGAGTCTCCAAAGACTGTCAGAATATACCAGTGGTTCTCAACCTGGGGGTCGGGACCCCTGGGGGGTTTGCAAGGGGGGTCAGAGGAGTCTCCAAAGACTGTCAGAATATACCAGTGGTTCTCAACCTGGGGGTCGGGACCCCTGGGGGGTTTGCAAGGGGGGTCAGAGGAGTCTCCGAAGACTGTCAGAATATACCAGTGGTTCTCAACCTGGGGGTCGGGACCCCTGGGGGGTTTGCAAGGGGGGTCAGAGGAGTCTCCAAAGACTGTCAGAATATACCAGTGGTTCTCAACCTGGGGGTCAGGACCCCTGGGGGGTTTGCAAGGGGGGTCAGAGGAGTCTCCAAAGACTGTCAGAATATACCAGTGGTTCTCAACCTGGGGGTCGGGACCCCTGGGGGGTTTGCAAGGGGGGTCAGAGGAGTCTCCAAAGACTGTCAGAATATACCAGTGGTTCTCAACCTGGGGGTCGGGACCCCTGGGGGGTTTGCAAGGGGGGTCAGAGGAGTCTCCAAAGACTGTCAGAATATACCAGTGGTTCTCAACCTGGGGGTCGGGACCCCTGGGGGGTTTGCAAGGGGGGTCAGAGGAGTCTCCAAAGACTGTCAGAATATACCAGTGGTTCTCAACCTGGGGGTCGGGACCCCTGGGGGGTTTGCAAGGGGGGTCAGAGGAGTCTCCAAAGACTGTCAGAATATACCAGTGGTTCTCAACCTGGGGGTCGGGACCCCTGGGGGGTTTGCAAGGGGGGTCAGAGGAGTCTCCAAAGACTGTCAGAATATACCAGTGGTTCTCAACCTGGGGGTCGGGACCCCTGGGGGGTTTGCAAGGGGGGTCAGAGGAGTCTCCAAAGACTGTCAGAATATACCAGTGGTTCTCAACCTGGGGGTCAGGACCCCTGGGGGGTTTGCAAGGGGGGTCAGAAGAGTCTCCAAAGACTGTCAGAATATACCAGTGGTTCTCAACCTGGGGGTCGGGACCCCTGGGGGGTTTGCAAGGGGGGTCAGAGGAGTCTCCAAAGACTGTCAGAATATACCAGTGGTTCTCAACCTGGGGGTCGGGACCCCTGGGGGGTTTGCAAGGGGGGTCAGAGGAGTCTCCAAAGACTGTCAGAATATACCAGTGGTTCTCAACCTGGGGGTCGGGACCCCTGGGGGGTTTGCAAGGGGGGTCAGAGGAGTCTCCAAAGACTGTCAGAATATACCAGTGGTTCTCAACCTGGGGGTCGGGACCCCTGGGGGGTTTGCAAGGGGGGTCAGAGGAGTCTCCAAAGACTGTCAGAATATACCAGTGGTTCTCAACCTGGGGGTCGGGACCCCTGGGGGGTTTGCAAGGGGGGTCAGAGGAGTCTCCAAAGACTGTCAGAATATACCAGTGGTTCTCAACCTGGGGGTCGGGACCCCTGGGGGGTTTGCAAGGGGGGTCAGAGGAGTCTCCAAAGACTGTCAGAATATACCAGTGGTTCTCAACCTGGGGGTCGGGACCCCTGGGGGGTTTGCAAGGGGGGTCAGAGGAGTCTCCAAAGACTGTCAGAATATACCAGTGGTTCTCAACCTGGGGGTCGGGACCCCTGGGGGGTTTGCAAGGGGGGTCAGAGGAGTCTCCAAAGACTGTCAGAATATACCAGTGGTTCTCAACCTGGGGGTCGGGACCCCTGGGGGGTTTGCAAGGGGGGTCAGAGGAGTCTCCAAAGACTGTCAGAATATACCAGTGGTTCTCAACCTGGGGGTCGGGACCCCTGGGGGGTTTGCAAGGGGGGTCAGAGGAGTCTCCAAAGACTGTCAGAATATACCAGTGGTTCTCAACCTGGGGGTCGGGACCCCTGGGGGGTTTGCAAGGGGGGTCAGAGGAGTCTCCAAAGACTGTCAGAATATACCAGTGGTTCTCAACCTGGGGGTCGGGACCCCTGGGGGGTTTGCAAGGGGGGTCAGAGGAGTCTCCAAAGACTGTCAGAATATACCAGTGGTTCTCAACCTGGGGGTCGGGACCCCTGGGGGGTTTGCAAGGGGGGTCAGAGGAGTCTCCAAAGACTGTCAGAATATACCAGTGGTTCTCAACCTGGGGGTCGGGACCCCTGGGGGGTTTGCAAGGGGGGTCAGAGGAGTCTCCAAAGACTGTCAGAATATACCAGTGGTTCTCAACCTGGGGGTCGGGACCCCTGGGGGGTTTGCAAGGGGGGTCAGAGGAGTCTCCAAAGACTGTCAGAATATACCAGTGGTTCTCAACCTGGGGGTCGGGACCCCTGGGGGGTTTGCAAGGGGGGTCAGAGGAGTCTCCAAAGACTGTCAGAATATACCAGTGGTTCTCAACCTGGGGGTCGGGACCCCTGGGGGGTTTGCAAGGGGGGTCAGAGGAGTCTCCAAAGACTGTCAGAATATACCAGTGGTTCTCAACCTGGGGGTCGGGACCCCTGGGGGGTTTGCAAGGGGGGTCAGAGGAGTCTCCAAAGACTGTCAGAATATACCAGTGGTTCTCAACCTGGGGGTCGGGACCCCTGGGGGGTTTGCAAGGGGGGTCAGAGGAGTCTCCAAAGACTGTCAGAATATACCAGTGGTTCTCAACCTGGGGGTCGGGACCCCTGGGGGGTTTGCAAGGGGGGTCAGAGGAGTCTCCAAAGACTGTCAGAATATACCAGTGGTTCTCAACCTGGGGGTCGGGACCCCTGGGGGGTTTGCAAGGGGGGTCAGAGGAGTCTCCAAAGACTGTCAGAATATACCAGTGGTTCTCAACCTGGGGGTCGGGACCCCTGGGGGGTTTGCAAGGGGGGTCAGAGGAGTCTCCAAAGACTGTCAGAATATACCAGTGGTTCTCAACCTGGGGGTCGGGACCCCTGGGGGGTTTGCAAGGGGGGTCAGAGGAGTCTCCAAAGACTGTCAGAATATACCAGTGGTTCTCAACCTGGGGGTCGGGACCCCTGGGGGGTTTGCAAGGGGGGTCAGAGGAGTCTCCAAAGACTGTCAGAATATACCAGTGGTTCTCAACCTGGGGGTCGGGACCCCTGGGGGGTTTGCAAGGGGGGTCAGAGGAGTCTCCAAAGACTGTCAGAATATACCAGTGGTTCTCAACCTGGGGGTCGGGACCCCTGGGGGGTTTGCAAGGGGGGTCAGAGGAGTCTCCAAAGACTGTCAGAATATACCAGTGGTTCTCAACCTGGGGGTCGGGACCCCTGGGGGGTTTGCAAGGGGGGTCAGAGGAGTCTCCAAAGACTGTCAGAATATACCAGTGGTTCTCAACCTGGGGGTCGGGACCCCTGGGGGGGTTGCAAGGGGGGTCAGAGGAGTCTCCAAAGACTGTCAGAATATACCAGTGGTTCTCAACCTGGGGGTCGGGACCCCTGGGGGGGTTGCAAGGGGGGTCAGAGGAGTCTCCAAAGACTGTCAGAATATACCAGTGGTTCTCAACCTGGGGGTCGGGACCCCTGGGGGGTTTGCAAGGGGGGTCAGAGGGGTCTCCAAAGACTGTCAGAATATACAATATTTTTTGTTGGCAATGGGGGTTCTGTGTGGGAAGTTTGGCCCAATTGATTCATTGATGGGGATCAGAACGCTCTTTGATTGTAGGTGAACTATACATCCCAACAACCACAGCTCCCAAATCTCAAGGTCTATTTTCCCCAAACTCCACCAGAGTTCACACTTGGTCACATTGAGTGTTCGTGCCAAGTTTGGTCCAGATCGATCATTGTTTGAGTCCACAGTGCGCTCTGGATGTAGGTGAACTATTTATTTATTATTTATTTATTTAGAACTTTTCTATACCAGTCTTCTCAACCTCCGAAGAGGGACTCAGGCCGGTTCACAACAAAAGATTCATAAACAATAGTTTAAAACATCACATCCCATAATACACCAATACATAATACATAAAATACATTAAAATACAATCAGATAATTACATAACTCCAAGTCGTCAGAATAAAATCATAATTCATCACCATCCGTCCGTGTGTTCAAGGGTTATTGACTCACTTATCAATTGCTAATTTCCAGAGCTAAGTTTTCACCAGCTTTCTAAAAGTCAGGAGAGAAGGGGCAGTTCTAATCTCCAGCGGGAGAGAGTTCCAGCGCCGAGGGGCCACCACCGAGAAGGCCCTGTCCCTCGTCCCCACCAGACACGCTTGAGAGGGTGTGGGACTGAGAGCAGGGACCCTCCAGAAGATCTTAACAACCTTGATGGTTCATAGGGGAGAATCCGTTCGGGCAGGTAAACTGGGCCGGAGTCGTTTAGGGATTTATAGGTCAACACCAGCACTTTGAATTGTGCTGGGAAGCTAATTGGCAGCCAGTGGAGCTGGCGCAGCAGAGGAGTGGTGTGCTCCCTGTACCCTGCTCCTGTTAGTAATCTGGCTGCCGCTCGTTGGACTAATTGCAGCTTCCGGGCAGTCTTCAGAGGCAACCCCACATAGAGAGCATTGCGGTAGTCTAAACGGGATGTAACCAAAGCGTGGACCACCGTGGCCAAACTCAACTCCCAAACACAAGGTCAATGCCCACCAAACCGTTCTAGCATTTCCTGTTGGTCGTGGGAGTTCTGTGTGCCACGTTTGGTTCAATTCCATCGTTGGTGGAATTCAGAATGCTCTGTGATTGTAGACGAACTATAAATCCCAGCAACTACAACTCCCAAATGACAACGTCAATCTCCCCTAACTCCACCAGTATTCAAATTTGGGCATATTGGGCTTTTTGCCAAATTTGGTCCAGTGAATGAAAATCCATCCTGAATATCAGATATTTACATTATGATTCATAACAGGAGCAGAATGACAGTTGTGATGTAGCAACGAAAATAATGTTATGGTTGGGGGTCAACACAATATGAGGAACTGGATTAAGGGGTCGCGGCATTAGGAAGGTTGACAACCACTGCTCTAGATGCAAGTGTCGATGACTCTTCACTTCTAAAATGCTGTTAATTCCCGGGGGGGTGGGGGGGTCTTCCTAGCTCTCGTGACATCTTTGCTCTCCCCCTTCTCTTCCAGAGCGCCCCCCAGAGACAAGGGTACATGCTGCGGGAGAGACCCCCGGCCCTGGAGGCCAAGGAGCGCATCAAGGTAGGAAATGCAGTAGCAACAAATACTCGGAACTGTATTTTCACTTTCTGATGTTTTCCTCAAAAAAACCAAAACATTGAGGCTTTTCGGTGCTTTTAAATCCTTCCCTTTGGGTTCTGACTCTTTTTGGGAGTGAAGGTTCAGGGGCAGTCTGCATCTAAATATCTGCTCTGACCTACAAGAAGCACGGCCTGAACATCAAGCAAAAAGTGGGTGCTAGAAACAATATCATATGAAAGCTGACTGGCACAACCTGGGGATCACAACCAGATACAGTGAAGGCATCTGCCCTTGCGCTGTGCTACTCTGCTGCTGAGTACGCATGCCCAGTGTGGAACACATCTCACCACACTAAAACAGTGGATGTGGCTCTTCATGAGACATGGAGTGTCTGCGCCCTACACCACTGGAGAAATTACACTGTCTAACCGGTATTGCACCACCTGACATCCACCGGGAAGTAGCAGCCAATAGTGAAAGGACCAAGGCAGAGACATCCCCAGCTCATCCCCTGTTTGGGTATCAGCCAGCACATCAACGACTGGAGGGGTTTGGGGGACTGACTCAACAGGATGGAAGTTGTACTTCACCCCGCATCATGGCAGAGTACTGTGACCCCCCACATCCTGGGGCAACGAACCCAGCCAATGAAAGATCTGAACCAAACTTGGCACACATACACAACATGGCCAACTGTGCATACACGCCTGGTTTGGGGATGATTGACTCACGATTCTGGGAATTCTAGTTCACCCACATCATTTACGCATTTTCTAATGGAAGCATTCATAAAAACTGAAATCGAAGACTGGCTTTTTCCTAATAAATAGTGTTACTAATTAACTAAATGGTATTGCCAGACACCCCAAAACATCCCCTGTTTGGGTATCAGCCAGCACGTCAACGACTTAAATCTAGAAGTAGTTTTCTAAGATCTACAGAGACACTCGCCGGAACACCTCAGCAAGCGAGAGTCCAAAAGTGGCAGGCTCAAACCCAGAACCTCAATCAATGGCTGATACCAGATGAGAGATTCCCCCCTGGGCACACAGAGGACTGGGTGACTTGAAAGGCGCTGAACAGACTGCGCTCTGGCACCACGAGATGCAGAGCCAACCTTCAGAAATGGGGCCACAAAGTGGAATCCACGACATGCGAGTGTGGAGAGGAGCAAACTACAGACCACCTGCTGCGATGCAACCTGAGCCCTGCCACAGGCACAATGGAGGACCTCCAAGTGGCCAGCTTCTGCTCAAAGGACATTTAATCAACTAGCAAGCTTGCAAACTTTGCGTTTTGCTTGCTTGTTTGTTTGTTAAAAAATGCAATACAACTGCTTGGCTTGCTCTTGACACGATAAATAATAGCTGAATAACAAGTCAGAAGAACAACAGCAAAAAATTCTACATTAGGAGGAATTTGCATTAGGTCATCTTTGTATACTTTATGTAAATTTTACATATATAGGGCTCCCTGGAGGCACAGCGGGTTTAACCGCTGAGCTGCTGAACTTGCTGACCTAAATTTTGGTGGTTCGAATCTGGGGAGTGGGGTGAGCTCCCGCTGTTAGCCCCAGCTTCTGCCAACCTAGCAGTTTGAAAACATGCAAATGTGAGTAGATCAATAGGGAAGGTAAAGGCCCCCCCCATGCAGTCATGCTGGCCACATGACCTTGGAGGTGTCTATGGACAACGCCTACTCTTTGGCTTAGAAATGTAGGTGAGCACCACCCACCAGAGTTGGACTTGACTAGACTCAATGTCAAGGTAAAACCTTGACCTTTACTATTTATTTATTGCATCAGCAGCAAATTGAGGGTACAGTTATTTAAAAACACAAACGAAGTTAAAAACCGGGCATGATGCTCAATGTCCTTTGAGCAGAATCTGGCCACTTGGGAGTGCCTCTGGTGTTGCTATGAGAAGGTCCTCCATGGTGCACGTGGCTGGGCTCAGGCCTAGTATACACATTTACAGGTGAGAATAGGACACCTGCCTAAATGGACGAACCCAGAGGGTGCTCACCCATGCTTCCTCTTCATCCTGGAAAGAAGTGACGAGCGGAGTACCACAAGCAGGGTTCCGTCCTGGGCCCGGTCCTGGTCAGGATCTTTATTAATGACTTAGACGAAGGGTTAGAAGGCAGGATCATCAAGTTTGCAGACGACACCAAATGGGGAGGGAGAGCCAAGACTCCAGAGGACAGGAGCAGGATTCAAAATGATCTTGACAGATTAGAGAGAGATGGGCCAAAACTAACAAAAGGAAGTTCAACAGGGACAAATGCAAGAGACTCCACTTTGGCAGGAAAAACGAAATGCAAAGAGACAGAATGGGGGACGATGAGGCCTGGCTCGAGAGCAGTACGTGAGAAAAAGATCTTGGAGTCCTCGTGGACAGGAAGTTAAACATGAGCCAGGAATGTGATGTGGCGGCAAAAAAAGCCAATGGGATTTTGGCCTGCATCAATAGGAGCATAGTGTCTAGGTCCAGGGAAGTAATGCTCCCCATGCTCTATTCTTCTTTGGTTAGACCACTTTACCTGGAATATTGTGTCCAATTCTGGGCACCACAATTCAAGAGAGATGTTGACAAGCTGGAATGTGTCCAGAGGAGGGCGACTCAAATGATCAAGGGTCTGGAGAACAAGCCCTATGAGGAGCGGCTTAAGGAGCTTGGCATGTTTAGCCTGAAGAAGAGAAGGATGAGAGGAGATATGATAACCATGTAGAAATATGTGAGAGGAAACCACAGGGAGGAGGGAGCAAGCTTCCTTTCTGCTTCCCTGGAGACTAGGACGCAAGGGAACAATGGCTTCAAACTACAAGAGAGGAGATTCCACCTGAACATGAGGAAGAACTTCCTGACTGTGAGAGCCGTTCAGCAGTGGAACTCTCTGCCCCGGAGTGTGGTGAAGGCTCCTTCTTTGAAGCTTTTAAACAGAGGCTGGATGGCCATCTGTTAGGGGTGATTTGAATGCAATATTCCTGCTTCTTGGCAGAATGGGGATGGACTGGATGGCCCAGGAGGTCTCTTCCAACTCTTTGATTCTATGATTCTATGATCTGGCTACCAGTATTGAAAAACTCTAAAATTACAACAGCAAAACAACAAAGAGGAAACATTCTGGGACATCTAATCACCTCCCAACAAAAGATTGCCCCAGGCAAGCCACACCGAAAAACTGCCTGGCCATCAAATGCTAATCAAGGTGGTCAGTTGAAACATTCGCGCCTAGCTCCAGCAGACAAGAGTAATTTGTCCCACCCTGATCATTCCACAGATAAATAAGCCCAATTTTCCTAGATCCAACAGACCTCACTACCTCTGAGGATGCTTGCCATAGATGCAGGCGAAATGCCAGGTGAGAATGCTTCTAGAAAATGGCCATACAGCCCGAAAAAACCTGCAACAACCCAGTGATTTCGGCCATGAAAGCCTTCGACAATACATTGTTCCTCTTCTGTTTGTTGCTGCAACAGTTGTGGCCATGTTTTCTCATCTCAGCATCTCTTTCTCAGGAGATGCGGGACCCCTGGCAAAGCTTGGACCCCTTCAGCTCTTCGGAGGACAAGCCCTCCAAGAAAGGTACACGGAGGGAAGGAGGAGGAGGGTCAGGGGCTGGGGGAGCAGGTGGAAATTGCAAGGCTTCCTTAGGAATCCTTGGGGCAGGCAAGGGCAAACTTGGGCCCTCCAGGTGTTTTGGATTTCAACTCCCACAATTCCTAGCAGCCTGCCGCACAGAAAAAAAAATCTGTTCTTGGTTGGATAGTGTTGTTTCTTGTTTAATTGGGCGCTTTGCTGCCCAAAAGAAGCCGCAGAGAAGGATGGTGAGGAAATTGGGTTGGGACAGGAACATTAGCTTCATTTTATTTATTTTGGCATGGGGAAAAGTCAGTCAAGGTGGTCCCAGTGGTGAT